GCCAATTTCATTGTGGGGGGGGGGGGGCGGGGGTGGCTGTGTCAGGAGCTGTGGGTGATGACGCCGCTGCCTGTGACGTTCGTGGCATCTGGTCAAGCAAGCCAATTTCATTGTGGGGGGGGGGGGGAGGAGGGGGGGGGTGAGAGAGACAGTGAGAGAAAGAGACAGAGAGAGAGTCTAGTACCCTCACAGAACCCACCCCCAAGGCCGTCTCCACCCAGACCAACTGATCGAAGCAGAAAAGCGGGTGGGACAGACCCCCGCCCCCCACCCAGCAAGAGAGCTGTGGAGCAAAGAGAGTCCAACCTCTACAGACCTAAAGGGCAACCCAACGTGTAATACTCCCACCCCATGAGTAATACCCCCACCCTGTGTGTAATACACTGTGTTTAATACAGTGAGTCTGGCATGAACAGAGCTGTGCAGGGTCTGTTCATTCAACTATGCAAATTAGTGCTTCCAGCACTGGGTCCTATTCTGCTCAAGGTAAAGCCAAACGCATCTTGACCATGACCTCGACCGTAACTTCTATCTAGGATAGCACCCCCCCTCCACCACACACACACACACACACACACACAGACACACACAGACACTCCCAACTGGGAGCTCCTCTCAAAACAGGGAATCAGCAGAGCAACCATGCATCCAAGGCATGTGACAGGCTCATTCTCTCCAGGTGGGGGATGGGTTTGAGTCCCCTTAGGAGCACCAGGAAAGGTCAGGAGTCGATACACCTCAGCTGGGAGGCCATGCATTAGCAAAGAGTGCAGAATGAAAACAATACAGTGCCACTATATCACTGGCTCCCCCAGTGCCCTTTCCCCCACACAGCTGGTGGAGGGGGGTGAGGCAGGGAAACATGAGAGCCCCCCCCCCCCCCCCGGTACACAGCCAGCTCAACCACAGCTCCAAAACACAAGTAAATAGTGCAAACGGAACCTTCAGAGCCCCAACCGTAGCGTGGATGCGCTACACCACTAGGAGCCCCATGCCAGCTAACCCCGCAGTGCCATCTCACGCCACACGATGGCGCCCTGAACCCGATGGGCTTTTCAGCCTCCAGGGCAGGTGGAGCTGCCCATCACGCTGCCGGCCAAACGCCACCTTCACAAGAATCTCTTGGCTACGCTTAAGCACGGCACAGCAAACGAGGTCTATTTACAGGAGAACGACATCAGCTGCCAGCATCTCTGTAGAGCGGGAAGAGCAGCCGTAACGTGCAGTAAACACTGGGCGCAAAGTTACTGTATGCAGGTAAACCCCGTGGCAGTGAGGCTCTACCTGGAAGGCCAGCAAAGGCTACCAGAGGCTTCTGTGAGGCCCTCTGCACACCCCAATAAGGTTCTTCTGTTTGACCACCAAGCCAGCATTTTACACCAAACTCACCTCTTCTCTCAGGCTGAGAGGGATGCACATCCAGATCCCCCCAAAAAGGAGCTGCAGACCAGGGACAGCCTGTCAGCAGCCCTGTCCCACAGCAGTACCAACAATTACCCACTGGACTACTTTTGACAATCTCTGATTTCATTTGGGCTGTGGAGATCTGTAGCTAACCCTCAGGAGTGTAGGACGGCAGGTTGGGTGCATCTTGGACCGGAAGCAAGTTATACTCATCATCGTGTGTGTGCATAAGAGAGTGATACACCGAACCGTCTATCTTAATCGTGGACGGAAACCGAAGTAACTGGAGATTAAACCACACTGTCATACTCAAATCCAAATAAAGTGTCTTTCAGTGCTCCTGCGAGAGAGACGTGCACGGCGCGGAGGGTGTAAAACGATCCCCACGTCATGTCAAAGCCAGGTGACACTTACGGGCTTAATTGTGCGCGACTCTCGGAGGAAGGGAAAGTGCAAGCGGCACTCCGGGGGAAACCCAGCGGCACGTCCCGTGTTCTGCAGTCCGTGACCCGACCATGGGAAGATGCCGGCCGACACAAGTACTTTTACATATGCTGCCATTGAAATGAACGGAGAGGTGTCAGGCTGTAACACCCTCCCCCTAAATAAATAAATAAATAAATAAAATAAAATAAAATAAAATAAATAACAGTGACACCTGCGTTTACTGTGAAAATCAGCATTCGAGATTAATGATCCCGTCCCGTCCTGTACCAGAACCCGAACAAGCGGCATTATGTGACATTAAACGAGTCGAACCCAGCGCATTGAATCGGTGAGTCCGACAAGGACCAGGCGGCCATCGACAGCCGCGGCTGGGGGTGACACTGAATGAAAAGGTCTCGAACCGCGACTCGGAGCCGCCAGCCCAGCCACTCAGCTTGCTGAATGAGATGTCATGGCGGGATGTATGGACGGTTCGGCTGCGTCTCGTTGTCAGTGGACAGGTCCGGCGGATCTACACGGGCTGCCATAGATTCGGTCAAACCGACAGAGCAAATGAACCGACGCCGAGGGAACCGGTCAGGTCCAGGGACACGGCGCGGCGACGCTTACCGAGACAAATGCTTGAGGATCTGCTTCTTGATGATTCCCGCCATGACTGCGCTGGATCCCGGAGCCGGAGGCTTTCTTTACATGTACCCTCCGCTGTTATTGCGACCAGCCCCGCCGCCCATCATCTTCAAAAACACGGCGTTCTGTGCACTAGCCGCACACTCCCCCACTTTCCCACAAGCCTCAGCGAGCGGCGCGGAAACTGCGCCCCCAGGCGGGGAGCCAAGATGGCCACGCCGCCGCCGCGGCCAACGTACACGGCGGTCGCACGGCGCCACCTGCAGGCCGTGCGCATTAACCGCATTACCGTTGCGTTTCGATTGCCGTAGTTTTAAATAATTTTGCTCAAATCATCCACATCTTTTATATTTGGTCTTTTATATTTGTTCGGAAATCTACACTTTATCTAGTTTCCCCGATTTTAAGGTTTAGGAGACTACAGTATGAAATCCTACATCCAATTTTACCAGCTATTCAAGGGCATTGCCTCCTTGAGAAAATCTAGCTATTCTTAAGCCAGCTGGGAGATGTAATCTCCCCTGCGTGCCCTGGGTCTGCCCCAGGGCCTCCAACTCATGGGAGAAACCACTGTTAAAAATGCATACGTTTATTTTGACAAGATAATTAAATGGCACACAACCAAATTCAGTGTTTTTTTTTAATCTCTCAAATAACTTAAAACTATAAAGCAGCTTTAAAAAGCTAAACCACAAAATCTTGTCCAAAAGGTTCACGTGCATCTCTGCATTTACGAAAAGAAAAAGCAGATTTTGTAACTACAAACAGGAATAAAGGGCATCGATTCAAAAATTAGGGAAGAAAGAGGAACACCTCTACCTAACCTATGCATCGTTGGATCCAGGCGGCATTACAAAATACTTTATTCAGATAGCTTGAAGACTTTGGCTACATTAGGTCCAGCATAGAAATCCCCCTGGTTCAAGTGAACAGGTGCTGGGATTTGACAGTCTGTGTGGTATTTGGGGGGACTGACAGTACGCTGAGCTTCATGTCTTCACTTGCATGGTGTCCCAATCATGGGGGGGAGAACGGGGACTGCCAGAGCTGGAACAGATCTACCGGTCAGGCCAGGCCATGCCAGGACCAAGGGGCCCCATCATGGGTCGAGCTGGGGTCCGCATCATGGGGGGGCCAGGCATCATCTGCATGGGGCTACCCATGGGGGGGCGCATGCTGGGAGCTGTGGAAAGAAAGACAAAGAGGGGGGTTTTACCATGATTAACCCAAAACCAGAACAGCATGTTTGAAACAAAGTGCTTAATGTGCCCCAATCCGATTCTCACACTGTTACAAAACACACCATTTCCCTTCGAACTCTGCCACTCGAGTGACCTATTAACGGATTAATCAGCTCTGAGGGACACTAAACCTGCACAGTGTCACCTACAGGTGTTAAGGTGGCTCAGTGGGTCACAGCTTCAAATCACACCAGTGTTCTGTGTTGTGCTGAATCGCTCTGTTAGCAACTTCCATAGCTGGAACCATGCAACTGAATGGGTTCAACCATGTAAGTTGTCAGCAGAAGCTTCTGTGAAACACCCCAGGACAATTATTTAAAACAAAGGTAGGCAATCCTGATCCTGGAGTGTGTATCCAGCAGGTTCTCCATCCTCCCTGGTCTCTGATGAACCACACCTGATCTCAGACGGATATGAACTCATCAGGTAAGAGAACCTGCTGGAGACCGGCACTCCGGGATCAGAGGTCCCTATCCCTGATTTAGAAGATGGATGATCCACCTGCAGAAACTCTACATTCCTCATAACTGAGACAAAACCAGCCCTTGCACTACACTGTTGTGTAAAAGTAGCAGAATACAAAATCAAACACAACAGGTCCCTGCAGACCAGGGGGCTACTCCATAAAGCAGGACTTCTTCATTAGCCAGATGATAATCTAAGGATTATCCAACGGGAATGCTTACCTCTCTTCCTGTTGGACAGTTATCACATTTGGCTCAACTGGGAAATGCTGCTTTGTGGGAAAAACCCCCAGGTCCATTATATGGACCAAAGTTGTTGAATAGATTGAATAGATAGATGTTACGATCAGGAGATGCACAACAGGGCAGGAGACATTAAAGTGTGGCCACAGATATTACAGGAGACCTAGGGAGCCTGGTATGTCCTCTGAAACAAGTCCAGCATGAACATAGAAAGATTAAACACATCAAAAGCGTAAAAAACACACCACCACTACCATCACCTCCCTTATTTTAAATATCAGACTATGATCCAACTAAAAAAACAAAACAAATGCTTGCCTTGAGTCAGAGACATAACCCTGAACTTTGTGTGTGCATGTAGTGAACATAAACTCACCTGCCCCACCAGGCATCATACCAAGGGGAGGGGGCCCCATCATGGGCATCATTGGAGGACCGCCCATAGGGGGCGCTGGAAACATTCCAGGATGTGGTGGCCCGCCTGTAATGATACGAGAAATGATCCAGTGTCTTCTGTTTACACTGCCTGGGTCTTTAAGGATCAGAATACTGTCCTGCCTTTATGATTTGAAGCCACTCAATCATCTAGACATTTCAGAAACAGTGACACGCCAAAGTAGGCAAAACAACTTGTGTTTACTCACTGATATTTGGAGGAGGGATGAGGGCCCCACCAGGGGGCGCCGCACCGGGGAACGGTGTGGCTGGGATCTTCCCTAGCTGGAAGGCAGTAGCTGGGAGAAAACAAGAGATTTAAGCATCAGATCCAAAGAAACAGCTACCAAAACACATTGCAGAAAACCATAATGATGGGGGTAGTGTGTGGCTCAGCCTCTGTGCCTGTAAACAGAAGGTTGCTGGTTCGAGCCTGGCCTTGGCAGAATAGTCATGCCCTTCAAGAAAGCATTTAAGGGTAATTTACACCTCGGAATAAAATCGATGGTGTAAGTACGGCGTGGCCGTGGATACTACCTCGTAGCCTGACATGCACCTCCCAAGAAATGTAACTAGACGTTGTGGCGATACAGAATGCAAGAACTGTGACTTGTCTGTTTGGTGGCATTTGCTTTTTTTTTATATATATAGGAACAAAAAAGCATATCAACCCACCCTAGGCATCGTAGCAACAGGTCTACAACAGGTTCACGACTTGAAAAACCCGAAGACTGGAAACAGGTGAATCAATAATTCCAATACGGAAACTATAGGAAGTTGCGCAAATGCACATCTGCGACTGAACGAATCACTCCCACGAGACGACTCGTTCTTCCCGAATCACATTAAAGATTCGTTCAAAATGAACGAATCGTTCAAGAACGACCCATCACTACCCTTAACCCCCAGCCACCACTGCAGGTGGCTGCCCTCCGCTGCCAAGTTTGTTCTCACCTACATATAGGCCTACTGTACAAATACTACTACACTATACTACTACATATACTGTATGTAGGCCTATGTGTCATGGAGAGCAAGACGGGGTAGGCAAAATGAGAATTTCCATATAGAGATCAATAATTATTATTATTATTGTGCAATGACAACTTCATTCAAAGCAGATTCATGTAACATTCGGCTTACTTGTTTTATCTATTAGGCTCTGTGCTTGCTCCTCCATCCATTTCTTGTAGTAATCTTTGACATTTTCTTTGTGCTTGCGACCACTACAATGCGTTTTCCGCACGGAAGGCTGTCAAAAGGACATTTTAAACGCCATTAAAATTAGAAGTGAAAAACGAGCTAGGCAGCACTGTGCCATCGAACCGACTGGTTAAACGACCTTCTTGTGGTTGATTTTTCTTCGAAATAAGTGGATTTTTATTATACGGCTGAGGATAGGGTGGTCTTACCGAATCATGTGTCAGGTATGTATCACAGTAATCGCAATAAAACCTGAAATAATTACGGCAGAAAACATGAGTCAATAACGCACGCAAAACGACTCCCCACATAAACACGTGAAAGCATGCTAACTATGTATTTATATACCATATAAATAATTCATGAATATTCTGGATTTCTTACATGCTAGAAGGTTTATGATTCATTTACAGGATGCATAACATTAACGGGGAACTCGAGTAATAAAACACCCCCCGACCCGCCACCAGCACTAAAACACAAAATAAGCATTCCCTCAATTTCTAAAATTAGACTAATAACACTGACAGCACACTGATCCAGCTTAGGAGAGAATGGCTATTAAGATAACCAGGGCACTCACTTCGGCATGTTTACGAAATATTTTTTTAATTCCTTGGGCTTGGGAGCTGCTGGGCGCTGCACCGCAGCCGGAAGTGATGACACCGCTTACTCGTTTAACTGCAGCGCCACCGTTAGGCTCCAATGCAGACTCCTCAATGGGGGGGGGGGACTATATGACACAATGTAAGTAACCCTTTCCGGCTTTAGCATTAACGAGTTGCCGATAACAAACTATGATAACCCCTCGAAAAGCGCTTCTTTGGTAGCGCGAACACTGATGTATGGCACGTGCACCCTTCGACGTCACGCTGCGCAGAGGGCCCTGCCCACCACCGCCCAGCCCCTCGCGCTCCCCGGCGCTTCCGGCACTCTCGTGTTTACGCACGTCACCGCCGCGCCCATGCGCACTGGGCTTGTTGTCGGCTCGCTTGTTATGCCTGGTTGAGGCCTCGGACTAAATTAGTAGAAAACCCCCCGTCTCCGCCCCGGGACACCCGCCATGGAGGGCATGGATATGGACTTGGACCCGGAGTTCATGCAGAAGTTCAGCTGTATGGGCACCACCGACAAAGACGTGCTTATATCCGAGTTCCAGAGGCTGCTCGGCTTCCAGCTGAACCCCGCGGGCTGCGCCTTCTTCCTGGACATGACCAACTGGTGAGCCCGGGGATATGAGGCCTAGCCGCTGCGCTAACCCCGGCTTAGCCCACCTCAGAGAGTAAAGCGTCGTTTGTGAGCCTTATAATTATAAATAAACGCCCCTTGGATTCCGCTTATTTCCCTGTGTATGGAGGCTCCGTGTATTGTGGTAAGGTTGTGCCGGTGCCTCGGTGGTCGGTGTCGGGCGCTTGGCCTGTGCCAAGTCTGGGACGCCTGCCGTGAAGCAGCAGTCTAGCGACAGTGAGTGCGGCATACGGAGGGACAGAAGGGTGGATGTAGAGGGACAGGCTGCGCGTCCTGCTCTGGGGGGTGCCCCATTTAATGGGAGGTCAAGGTAGAGTCGGACTCGCTGTTAACCCGCTCCGGACGGGGGTGTCGCGGTGTTACCTCCTCCACTCGGGCTGGCTTTCCTCCACCGAGTTGGGGGTCGCTGTCTTGACCGTGTAACTGTATAGGTCAGGGAGCCCTAGTCTGCATGAGCCGACCTCCGGTGATATAACTTGCATAGGGTGTTTTCCCCGCTGTGTGAACGCTTTCCAAGCTCCGGTCCGTGTGGCAGCGTCTCTCGCAGCCCCTGTGAGTTTCTCCAGGTGCTTCATGTGGGTCTTCTGCATAGACATGTACCTGTACAATGAACCTGACCTGCATAAATGACGCGTTTTCCCCATCGGGTCCGTTAATTCTATAAACTGGGTTATGTCTCTGCCAAAGGCTTGAACCTTAATCTCAGCATCATAGTATAAAATCACAGTGTGGGGTGCTTAGTTTACAGCAGCCTGGTTTTCTGTTCCAACGTCATGTTTCCAGGGCTGCGAGATGGCTGTAAGGGACACAGGGTTTAAGCTTGCGATTTTCGGTGCTTTGGGTAAGTTGCTGGGAAAGGATAAGCCCGTGTGCTCCCGTTGCGGAAAGATTAACGCGATCGGTACCTTTGGACAGTTTTGTTTGCAGAAAACGGACCGGTTTTAATTTGATATTAAAATGTGCTGACACACCGACTCTCATTGTCATTCTTATCACACACTAAATCACTTGTTTAAAGTTTTTGGTTTATTCTTGAGTCCCTTATTGCCTCCTAATCGCAGTGGTCACCCTGCTGTAGTCCTTCATTGCCTTATTTTGGGAATAGAGCACATGATGCCATGCAGGGAGCAGTAGGCGATGTTCTCCTTATGGTGCTGTCCCCGCTTGACCGTCTCCTCCCTCCTTGTACACACTGCAGAGGTACAGGTTTTACTGCCATGATTTATTGAGAGATACTGTCTGCAGTGTTCTGGGGCACTTTCCCCGGAACAGCGAGATACTCCGGGGAGTGCCCTTCACTCTCGGGAAATTATTACATACAAGGAGTGCTGCAGCGAAGGGTGTGGCTGCTTATATCAGCGTTGGCAAGTTTCCAGCGATATCTCCAGCATTAGAGCCCTTTGAAGGGCGTTTCCTGTATGACTCCTCTCCCGAAATAGAGAACGTGACCAAGCCTCCGTAAAGTAGTGTCCCCCCCCCCCAGATTTAAGCCCTAGTAACAGAGGCTTCTAATTGACTTGAAGATATTTACCGGCAGCCGCCATGAACTGGGCACCTGTACCTGCTGAGGAAGCTTGGAGTCCCTTGATAATGTTCATTTTGAAAAGCCGTGCAAATGACCGTTTTCACTTCTGTGGCAGGAACCTGCAGGCTGCTATTGGGGCATACTACGACTTTGAGAGCCCCAACATAAACGCACCATCCATGTCGTTTGTGGAGGACGTGACGATCGGCGAGGGGGAGTCCGTCCCCCCCGACACACCATTTACAAAGACCTGGAGGATACAGAACACAGGTGTGTGCGGCCTCCCCGTCTGTGAGTGGCTGGCTGTTCCCACTAGCTGACCGGATCTGTAACTGCAAGAGGTGCTGTGTGCCCCCTGGTTAAGGGTCATCGGCACCCACGTGTCTCCTCACTGTTCAGAACGATGGTGTATGAAGAAAAGTTCGCTGTCCTCTGTGGCCCCCACACTGTATTTGTCATTCTTTTGTTTATTGGAGCATTATGTTCTCATTGCCACAAACAGGTCTGCAAAAACAGGTTACAGGGATTAAATGAACTTTTAGGCTGTGATTAGTTAGTGACATGTGACTGCAGTGGACCAGTCAGCTTTCAGTCCTTATAATGGGGCCTTTGAAGGATGTTGTAACAGTACCGCTCAGTTACACGTATATATGAGCCTATGTGGTCATCACTCGGTAAATTACAGATAATGACTGGGAGGGGAATCCTGCTGTGTGATTACCAGCTTCTGATGTTAGGATCCATGTAGCTGCCTGGATTCAGGAGGTCAGGCCCTGTGCACCCGTTATACCCCCTTGCCCGTTAAAGGTCCTCACTCTCTCTCTCTCTCTCTCTCTCTGCTTCACAGGGGCAGAGTCCTGGCCCCCAGGGGTGTGTCTGAAGTATGTGGGCGGGGACCAGTTTGGTCACGTCAACATGGTGCTGGTTCGCTCACTGGAGCCGCAGGAGGTGTCCGACGTCAGCGTGCAGATGCGCAGCCCGGCTGCCCCCGGCATGTACCAGGGCCAGTGGAGGATGTGCACAGCCACTGGACTCTTCTATGGGGGTACGCAGGCCGAGACAGGACACTGCAGCTCCCGCCTTCTCTGTCCACTTCCCTTGGGCTCATTTTTGCTAGGAAATAGCTTGCAAACTCGTATCTGTCCCCAAAAAGTTTCTCTGTTGTGGCAGCAGCCTTGAAATGTATCTGTTAAGATCAATTCATACTTCACTTTTCCACATGCAGTTTCGGTTATGGACAAGGGTAAATGACATATGCTTTGTTGTCAGGGCTTGTCTGCAGACAGCTGCGGTGGGTGTGTCTGTAGGCCAGGTTTATGTCTAGTGGAAACCTTGCGCATCAACCGCCCATGGTAACTGATTAGGCATTTCTAGTAGGTGGCAGTGTGGACTTTCACAGATCAGTGGTTAATGATGAAAGAAGAGAGGAAGAATAGCTGTTGTTCTTATAATAGTTATGGTGAGCAGCTGTATGAGGAAGGTCGGAGGCACCTGCATATCTAATTTTTCATAGTGTCCAGACATTATATCGAGGCATACAGTCTTTTAAAAAGCAACACTATTTTGGCATTTTGAAATATTGGCAATAAAATTCACCGAGTGTGGAGGGGGGGGCTAATTTTGTTGTAAGGTTCTCAATTTATCGTAGAATGCATTATTACTGAAATACCTGTTTCACTACACTGCTTGTATTTGTGTTTGTACATCTGCCCTCTCCTGGTCTGGTGGAATATCACTGCTGCATGCATGCATCGACCACGACCATCCGCATCCGCAGCCAAAGGTACACAAGCTGCCATGTGGATGGCTTTCCGCAGCCCGAAAGCGCACAGGGAAAAATGAAGTATGAACTAAGGTGGAAGGAAGCTGTGGTCAGTAGAGCTGTAAGCGATATGGTCCGGTGGGTGGCGATCCATGCGTTACTTACTGAGACGATGTGATACTGGGATGTAGTGTGTGAACGTGGACTGGACACGGCAGTGTGTTCCATGCGGCGTGTGTGACCCGCCCCGCAGCACACGCTCCCCATTAAGCCCCTCCACCCCGGCTCTGTGCACAGACGTGATCTGGGTGATCCTCAGCGTGGAGGTGGGCGGTCTACTCGGCGTCACGCAGCAGCTCTCCTCCTTCGAGACGGAGTTCAACACCCAGCCCCACCGCAACGTCGAGGGTAACTTCAACCCCTTCGCCTCGCCGCAGAGGAACAAGGGCGCCGGGAGCCCCGGAGGTCCCTGGGATGGCCACTCGGACGGCATCCAGCAGGATCAAAATGGACTGTCACACACCTCTGTAAATATAACACCAAACAGTCTCCAAAACAACCTGTCAGTGGTGACATACAGTCAGGTGAGTGAGCGAAGGCCCGAGGGCCTGGTACTCCTATGGGTGTCCTGGGGTCATCCAGTGGGCAACCAATGAGAGCCTTCGTGGCCCCACTGGTTACTATGGGTGCGTTCGACTTGGGCTTAGGTCTGTCTGCAGCTCATGTGACGTGGAGCGCGATCTGCCGGCGGCTGCAGGGGTGGAGTATAAACTGACTGCATCCAAGTCGGACAACTTCTACTCCTCGTAGTGTGCGAGACCTGACTGCAATAACAGTACTGCCAGAAGGGTGTAGATAAATCTATACAAATATCACCTGCATGCACATTAAATTTACTCCTGATCCAAACAGTTAGCAGTGAAAAAAATAAACTATTGTGTATAGTGGCCCTGTGTAAAAAGATAGCTGCCAGGAAAAAGATCAAATACATTTATTCCAAGGATTCAAAGTTTTTGTCATGTACAGAGTTCAATGCAATTCTTACTTGAATGCCTTCTTCACAGACTGAACGATTAAACAAATAAAGCAGCACAACATTACAGTAACTAACAATAAACAAACAACTAGCTCACGTGTACTATTAGAGCATTTATGTCATTTATTTAAACTTTATTTTACGAGGTAAATCAACTGAAAACCTGTTCTCACTGCTTTACATGATATTCGGGAGAAATGGCAGATAACGCATCGGAACTTCCTGGGATACAAACGTCATGCGTGTAACTAAACTCTTCAGCCAATAAGGGCAAAGTTGTGTCGTCATGGAGGCGGTTCCAGTTTGTGCAGCCGGCTGAGAGGTACCATGTGACCTGGTGATGTTTTGCAGCACCGGCAGAAGTCGGACAAAAAAATCTAACCGTGATGCATTGCGTCAGGACCAGAATGCATTGCTTTAAGCCAGCGCCGTTAGCGGCTGCATGAAGTCGAACGCACCCAGTGTTTCCATGGTGGGTGCAGCAAAGGCTCATGGGAAAGGAAGGGTTATGAACCATGCCACAGTGCGGGAATGCAGTCTCATTACATATAGGGAGCATATTGACTTACAGCATGGAAATCACCCCCCAACCCCATCAAGGTCTGTATTGAACAAGGGTTCGGTTACAAGTGATTCGCGGTTGGAGGTTATCAGGCTAATTTGCTTTTTACTTATTTTTTACACAGCCACGGATGACTGTACAGTAAACATTTGGGGTAGTGATTAGCCTGCCAGAAGGGTGCCAGCTTTTCTGCTGTTGAGTAACAGGAAGTGTGCTGTCTGCCTTTTCCCCGCCGCGGTCTGGCACCTTGCTGGGGCTGTCAGGGGGCGGCGCCCACCTCGCGCTTATCAACCCACATGCCGGGCAGATGAGTGCAGCCTGATAGGGCCCTGCCCGGTGATTTGGGCAGCTCGCTGCTGGCCCTTGGGGCACTTCGATAGCGTGTGCGGCGTGGCAGCAGGCTGGTCATTGCCAGGGCACGCTATCTTGCACACGTGTGGGAGTGGGAGTGTACGGGAAACACAGTCATTCTAAACAAAGATTGTTTGTGTGGAGTTTTTTTGGCACCCTGGCAAACGTGCTGTGGATCAGGGTGTAACGCCAGCGCCGTTCCGCATGTGGGCTCCAGGTGGGACCTCTCGCAGTCTTCCTGTCACTTGGTGTCACTGCAGACGTGTGAAGGACATTCAGAGGACCCCGGATCCTGCTGACTTCTTGCCTCCCTCCCCCCTCTCTTCTACAGGGTATCCACGGGCCCTACCCCTTTGGAGAGTCTTAAAGGCAGCCTCCAGCCACGGCTCAACGGTGCTGCTTCCCGCCGCCCCGAGGGCGGTGGTGGGGGCAGTTCTGGGCCGGCCGGGAGCAGCCCCGAATTATTTCGTATGGACACTTGACAGATCCCGTTTCCTCTCCCTGATGACGATATAAATGAACAGTGAAGATAAGGGTGTGTGATCCCTGAATGCCCGGAGAATGCATGTGCGAATGCTAAATTAAGACCCGAGTGCTATGAGTCTTTTGCGGGGCATGGAGTACACACCGGATGTTCTTTTCTTTCCGTTGTATCCTCTGAGTCTGAGTTATCGAGCACCGAGTAGAGTTTAGCGAGGAGCAGTGAGCGTCACCGTCCCCGAGCAGACGGAGCGATCCTCAGCGGCTCTGTGGGTTGCTGTGTGACATCACATGCTGGTTTCCTGCTCTCCTCCTGTAGCGGTGTATACTTTCTGGGGTGCTGTCTTCCCTGTTCCGCTGTAAAGGTTCTTCAGAGAAGGAAGGTCATATTTGTGCAGAGAGAAAGATCCCGGCCTTTCTGAGTCCTGCTGTCTTTGTGTATCCTATGTCAAAGCTCTGCCTTGCACATCTAACACACCAGGTGACGCTGTAAGTGGATAAAAGAATGAGTTGGCACACAACACCATCACTTACCAGCAGAGGGCGCTGCTCGACAAATTACCCTGAGGCAGGTAGCCAAGCTGCCAGGTTGTTGACGTTCTGCTTCTCACTGAACTGATTCACGCTTCTTGTCCTCGGCCTGCGGCTTTCGGGGTGACGTGTTGCATTCGGCACACGCTCATAGCGCGGCCGTCCTGGGTCGCTGGCGTGTTCCCAAACGTGTTCCGGTTTCTGTGGGAGGTGCGTACAGCCCCCTGGGTCTTGGTTAAGCAGCCGAAAGATGGACGTTCTCCCTGGATTGGCATGGGCAGGCGAGCCCCCCCCCCCCCCCCCGCCCCAAGAATCTGGAGCTCATGAGCGTTTTTGTATAATATGGATTAAATGCTTTTAAGTTGGGGGAAAAACACAGGCTATTCATCGTTATGTCAGTAATGTTTTCATCACCATTTTGGAGACACTATGGAACGACTTCATTTCTATAACCTCTCTGTATGCTTCTTGATGGAAGAATAGACAGTCATGTAACATACTCAATTATTAATACTCTTCGATCAGACTATAAGCAGTAGTGTGTTTTTTTTTTTTTTTTTAGCTGCAGGGCAATTTTCTGACCCCCTGAGCTTTGGTGCCTGCCGCTGGTAATGGTTCCCATCTGCACTGGCTGTCAGCTCCGAGTTCCAGCACGGCTGTAATCCACCGTCCCTGTCAATCTGCGGTGTTTATACAATATCCTGCCCAAATGTCAGTTTTCCCCCCCATCCTGAAAAGTATACACTCACCGGTCTGCCTTCCTCTTCTCTCCTTTGCTCTGTTTGTTGACTGTCTGGATTTTTTAGGTTCCTTGATGGATGGTCTTTGTTTCGTTTTTTTTTTCTCCTCTGTGATTCGGGTGCGTGTCGGACTGCGTGGGGCACTGGGTTGAGTGAGTCCAGTCTGTGTAGAGTCCTATGATAGCACATCGAATGATGAAGAAACCTGAAAAATGGAATCCTTTTACTTGTATGTATAAATGAACATTTGTATGATTAAATTAACACTGAAAAGAGAACGTTCACCTTTGGCTTTCTCTCTCTCTCTCTCTCTCTCTCTCTCTCTCTCACACACACACACACAGTAAGTACCATTGCAATCATTGGGTGGTGGTTCTGTGTATGTGATCCAACTGTGACATCACTCTGCTGACCCTAGGATTTGAACCTGCAACCACCCATGGAGCCTCAGATGTTGACGCAGGTGTTACAGCCAGTGTTCCTGTGAGCCCTCAGCTATCCAAGCGCACCGTCCTCTGGTTTGATAACTTCTCCACCAAACAGCGTTTAGCTAGATTTCTGTAGAATGCGAACCTCTTTTCTGTATTACTGTCCCCCCTGCATTACAAGACTGCAGTATGTGCATCTAATTAGGATAAATTTAACATTGGGGGGCTTCGTTAAACATTTCTGTGGCTGTCAGAGACATGAAGGTCGGCTGCATGGAAATGACTGCTTTGTTATAGATTTGAAGTATTAAATGTTGTGTCTTATGGACCCTGAGCAGTTCAGGGTTCTTTCCCACAATGCAAATCTTTCCTGTGCTTTCCTGGAAGTCTGAAAATAGTAAACAGGATTTATAGGGGAAAATCTGGGGCCAAAGAATTAACAGGACAAATCAGCAGGCAGTTAGACGAGGGGCTGGTTCAGTCACTTCCTTGGCTTGGGAGGCTGGCCTGCTGCAGATAATCACTTGTGGGGTACCTTCGGAAATGGCTTCTCGTGGTTTGCCGTACTTCAATCTGCAGCTCAGCAGGGTGGTTTTGGTCAGTGCCCCTTTTGTAAACCCAGAGGATGTAACCCAAAACCGGGCCATAAGCAGGAAGTAAAAGCCAGAATGGTGGCAGATGGCTGTGCCGATACGGTTGGTTACGGTGCCTGTTGGTTTAGCATCAGTTTTCAGGTTCCGGGCTCTTAAGGAAAGTGCTGTTTTCTCTGGAAAAGGCCCTATAGTCAAACACGGGTGGCAACGAGGAGCCATCGGCAGTGCAGTGTGAAAGACTACGGTGCTGTTAGGGCACCTGTGCTCTTAATGAACTGGCATGCCCTACAGGACTTTGAGACAGAATGACCAGTGATGTGGTCGAGGACCATAGCTGTCAAGTCTCCCATTTTGGCCGGGAAACTACCGTATTTTACTCCTCTTTCCCGCCGTCCTCCCGTATTAGTATTTTCCCGTAAATCTCCCGTATTATAATATCATTTAAAAAAATTCCTCTGCCTCTCCAAAATGAACTGCCAGTAGCCTCACGAGAACTGCCACCTGCAGTAGTCTGCAGGTCATTTACAACATTAACCAAGTCATAAATGCGGAGGTTAAAATGGCAATGCTGTGTGCGGAAAAACGTAACTTTCACCTTCTGTGACGACTTCAAGGATACAAAGTCTGCAACAAATCTGTATAATAAGTCATTAGTAAATGCCAGAGAGCCTCATGGGTGAACATGATAAATTAAAAGAAAATGTGCAATGAAAATAAAATGTAAATGACAAGTGGTTATTTTAGATTTCTTGTACACCTGTCTTAAAATGTAAGGGATACTGGAGCTTGCTGGTTGGGGTGGTGGGGTGGCTCGCGGTGGGTGCCGGAAAATCTCCCTTATTTTCAAATCCAAAACTTGACAGGTATGTCGAGGACACATTCCCTCCGAGGCTCTGTGGGACAGCCTCGAGCTGATCTCTTTACAAGGACATGGTGCTCATGATTTACCATGACCTTAAATCGGCATTAAGACGTATTGCTACGTATTTGTTCAGAGAAACAGCTTCACTCCCTTAGACATACAATAAAATATGCTCTCTAATTAAAATACGTGAATAACGACCTTCCATTGCTGAAGCAAATTAGGCGGAATGATTAAGGGGAAAAATATTAATAAAGCTTTGATAGCTTGCGGGTTTGAGAAATACTTCAATAATATTTGGTTTTTGAACCTCAATTGGAACACATATAGGCCTATTTTAGAATCAAAACGTATCCAGTTAAAATTATATTCAGACTTAACACAAATTTCTGCAGCAGTCGGTTTTATTTTGGAGCGTCTGTGAGATGAGAAATATGTTTAAATCGTTTAATCCTTGCGTTACTTTGCAGCCTCCTATCATAGTGCCGACAGCGCTTTATGTAACCTTGTATGGCGCTTAATCGAGCTTTACTGTCACATTGAATGCAAATAAAAACGACCAGCTAAGCAAATGATCAGGCTGACAAAATGAGATGTTTAATTGCATCACTTACGCACACGACTCGAGCTGGTGACTCACTTGAATCAACAGCCGTGAAAAGCCATCGGGGCGTTATTTCAGGTGGCGAGCAAAGGGTATCATTATAAAGGCGACACTTTGTAGCCGGCCGCTTTGTCAGCCTCCGGATTGTTCTTGCAAACAGGTCTTTAACGGACTAGATGTGTATTTTTTTTGCTTCGCATTTGGCCCCCAGCACTGCTAAATTTTTCAGCATCAGTTTGGTTTATCTAGCCCGGCACGTTGCTCCATAAACAGATTAAGAGCCACAAGAAGGCGCTCAGATTTTATGCAAAATGCAGAGCAACAGATGAGTGTAACAGACAGTAACTCGCATGACACTTTATAAAGTTTGGCGGCGTAACTGTCATCCTAACGTACTCGTTTTTCTAATAACACCGGCTTTCACTCGATTTAATTTCAGAAGCTGTGAAAGCATACTGGTCATGCTTAAAACCTTAAATCTTGTCACATTTGCATGTATTTTTAATTAACAGACGTTTTTTTATCCGAAGCGACATACGAGTGAGGCGAATAGCATATTACAAACGTGCCGATTCTGTTATCAAGGGATTTGCTAAAACATAGGATCTTGGTGGGACAAAATGTAATTATTCTAAATATCAGTTTGCCCTTGTGATTATTTGAAATCAGTCGTTTCAATAAATGGGCATTTCTATCATTGATATGTTATACAGGGACAGGGTTGCCAGGTCACGCATCTGGCATGACACTCAGGCTTTCAGACTCTCGCGCAGGAAATCTTACGACATATCTACGTTACTACATTATACACCTAAAATTAGCTATACCAAAAGCATTGGGGTAATTTGCAAAACCCGCAGGCTACTTACAAGGTAATAAAACTGCTAATGCGTGTGCAGACTTGTCTCGAAATTAAAATCTCACGCGCAGCCAGCTGACCAAAGTTAGCGAGCCCGCAGTGGCTTAAAATGTATTTACTCAAAATTTATCCCAGATAGCACACATATGTTTAAATGACATTGATTCCACATCAGAAAAAGGTTGAAACTACGTTGATCTTCAATCTTTCACTTTATATCAACACTGAATCAAGGTTTTGCCGCCATCAAGTTTTCAATATTGAAAATCTGACAAAAAACACAGTTTCAACGTTGATAATGCAACACTGACCATAATTCTACGCATTTAACTATAATTCAACGTTGAAACAATAACATGGTGCTATTTGGGATGTATTTGTAACTTATCCCTGTAATTTAATGGAAAAAAACCTACTAATAGATCATGCGTAATCTTTATATTTAAAAATAACATGGTGCTATCGACGTTTGAAGAATAATTATGTACACCTGCTGTCTGTTATGAAAGCAAACCAGGCTCCATCTCAGTGAACCAGTGGCGACAGTGACAATCAAAGGCGATCATTATCTCCTACTGCAAAATGAACATGTTGCCATATACGGATCTCCTGAATTACGTCAGCACCTTTACACAATCGTAAGCTCGACATTATTAACATTTTATTTATTTCGCCAGACGTTTTTATCCAAAACGACGTACATTTTTTTTTTGTTAAGAAAGGTCAGACAGTCCTCGGAGCATTTAGGGTTAGGGTTATTTAAAGATCGCAGCCCTCGATCTATTTGTACAGTTCACATGCTCGTATCAATCGGCCTTTGCATCAGAGAAACATTTTTTTTCTGAAGGTCATGGTAGTACGGAAGAGGATTAGGGTCACCATGAAAATATTATTTGAATTCTGACTTTTTTCTCAGAATTCTGATTTTTTTCTCAGCTTTCTGACTTTTTTTTTCCTCAGAATTTTGACTTTAATCTCAGAATTCTGAATTTAGAAAAAAAGTCAGAATTCTGAGAAAAAAATCAGAATTCTGAGAAATAAATTCAAAATAATTCAAATAATATTTTCATGGTGGCCCTAATCCTCTTCCGTATGGTAGCTATTGTGTTGTATATTCCATCTAAAAGGACGAGGGAGTGGATCTCAATTAACGAGCACCTGCTACAGCAAATCCAAATACGCCAGTTCCAGTTTGCGGTAATGTGATTGGTGCACTGAGATGAATTGCCCCGCCCCTTCCAAACAGTCCGATACTTTACAAGCAGCAGAAACATGTATAGATTATTTTAACCGGTGATTAAAAATGAGGAAGTATCACACTGCCTTTCTGAATATAATATTTCCTGAAAGGATGAATGAATTTAAATGTCAACTACATTTTACTGAGTTTGTACATTAGGTAATCCAGTTATCCAGTCACTCTATTGTATACATACTTAAAAGCATATTTGTCATGTTCAACTATATGATCCATGGTCATACATTAAAATACATTAGATACGTTTTTACTTTGTACTGATGCTAGTATGTAATTATGGTCACCTTTTTTACTGTAGGCTTGAGGTGTTAGGTCTGTTTTACACGCGTATGCAATAAATTAGTACTTTGTTGTTGTTTTTTTAATGCAGGTAACAGCAAAATAAACATCTTGTGAGTGCAAAATAAAGGGCATTGTGTGAGTTAACTTTGTGTTTTATTTCATTGGGAATCAAACTCATCGCTGTATGTTTTTCCCTTAGAAGTAAATGCTTATTTTAAGCTACAGTGCTTCACGGGACCTCGATACCGAATTTCGTTCCCTAACACGCTGCCCCCATGAATGACAATAAACCCAATGGAATCTTGAATCTTGTATATAAATATGATACTATGAGTTACCTTTCTGTTTTATTTTCCTCAAAGCTGTATAAATACTACATAGATTTAATACTCTAGGTT